TCATCTCTTTCCACTTAGCTCAGATGAAACTGTCAGGTCAGTAGTGATCAATGAGAGATGTGTGCTGAGTTGAAGTGAGTCTGCCCGAGTGCATGTTTGTGTGTGTCGGTTTTAATGCGAAGCAAATGCACAATTTCGTGGTTTGCATTTAATTTTTCTCTCTGTGTGTTTTTGTATAAATTAAAGCAAACAGACACGTGCTGGTTGATGGATATGTGTGTGTGTGCATCTATGAGTGTGTGTGTGAGGTAGTCAGTTAGTCAGGATTCTCAATCAATACCGTAATCACTCCTCCCCCTGTGGACACTCAAGGCTCCGCTCGGGCCTACGTTCAGTTGTTTGTTCTATGTCTTTCATCAGATGTCAACCGAGCCACGAGTCACGATTGACGTCTCTGACAGATGGAGCTTCATGAGACTAGAATGACAAACAACAGACTGGAAAATGTGGAAAGTGTGTGTTTGTTTGTGTGTGTCTGTGTTTGTTTGCCAGTGACGACCGACCCCAAACTAGAGCTCCGTGTCCATTCCTGTGCACGGCTGCAGAGGCTGCTTTTGCACAGATGACCTGCCCTCCTTAATTACAATGAAAATGACTCATCCGCATTAATGATGTTTGCCGTCTCTTGAGAGAAGAAATTAGCCAAAGGGGGAGCGGAGAGTTTGGGAGTGTGAGGGAGGGCGAGTGATGGGAGGGAAAAATAGGCATAGAGGGTACCAGAGAAAGACAGAGAGAGGGGAGAAGGTTTCTTGAAGGTTGGAGGTCTGCGTAGGACATAGGAAGCATTGTTGAGTGTGAATTTAAAGATGTGAGGGTGCTGTCACTGCCTTACACCATGTTGTCATTGGTGTAAGACAAACCTATATTTCATACTGTGCCTTTACTAGCCTTGAGCCTAGCTTTTAGCCTAGCCATTAGCCTAGCCTTTAGCCGAGCATGTAACCTGGTTCACTTGCATCTGTCTCCTCTCCCTCTGCCTAAAACGTATCCTTTTCCAGCCTGACTGTGTTGCTCTGACTTCGCAGGTTATCCTTCCCGGCGACAGACATTGAGAATAGTTTATAGAAGAAGCCAGTTTTCTCCCTGATTGTCTCATTTGCAGTTGTAGGTCATAAAGAGGCAGCATTATTAATCTGATCTGAGTAATTAATTCATTATTGCTTATCTTTGGTTAATACTTAGGTTATAAATGTATCCTAGTAAGTTGTACTCAAACACTATATATACATTTTAGATAAGTAGTCAAATATTACATTTTCACATTCTGAAATGGTTACGTGAATTTTGGATAATTGGTATTTTTTATGTTCCATTATTTTAAATATATGAACTGAAGGATTCCTCACTATGCTGTAAAAGGCTTTATTATTTGACATCATCGAGGTTCATAGCAGAAGAAGATGACTGTATGAACGTCTGGAGAGAAGAGAGGAGCAGAGTAAAGGCAATGACAGAGGCAATAAGAGTAAAGATGGCAGGTGAACAGGAAAACTGAGTAAGGAAGAAGGTGGTGTGTAAAAGGAAGAAGATGAGGAGAGAGATTAAGACAAGAAATCTGAAGTTCAATGATGAGAAATCTGAGGGGGAAAAAAACTTAATTGAAACAAAAAGAGGATAACCCTGAGGATTACTGGAGGGGGTTAAAGCATGACGATTTGAAATTCTTAGGTGCATTTATTTTTGGAGCAGTTCAATCAAACCCTGGAGTGTTTACCCTGAAAGTTTAAATTGTTAGGGGAGGTTCAAATCAAGCGCTCCTCATCAAGCCTTTGGAAGAGGGGGAGCTGGAGGTGGTTAAATAGGGGGTTGGACTTGTTAGACTGAAGAGAGAAGAAGCAGGAGGTGTGTGTTGACTGAAGCATATTCTGTCATGTTGATTCTTTCTTTTTTTAAATCTCATATTCAGGCTACACTTGTTCAAGCTTTGGAGTGAAATACTACATCGATTTAAAGCCTGTATAACTTTTGGTGAACAAGGGCCACAAACACTACAAACCATCAGCCTTCCAGTTAAAAAAAATGGCCCGTACGGCTAAATCCACACAAATAGCACAAATACTTGTGATAGTCAATGTAAATAGTCTGTGCCATTGTTGTGTCTTTGTGCACGTCCCTCAGATGACGATATTGATTCAAATGTGTAACCATGCCAAATGTGTAACCATGCCAAATGTGTCGCAGTTGTCATGTAACTTTCTCATGCCGGCATAAAGTGACTGTTCCGTCCACCATGGATCAACCTTGGTCCGCTACACCACTAGCATTCACACCAGCAATGATCGTATTATTACCTTTGCCAAGGACATTATTTTTTATCAGCATTTCTCTTTCTGTGTGCGAGTTAGCAGGATTACTCAACAAAATATTCAACCAATTTCCATGAAATTTTGTGGAGAGTTGGATATGACCCAAGGGAAAAACTCATAAAAGTTTATGAAGCAGATCTGGGCAAATTGGAAGATCCAGGATTTTTAAGTGCCCACTTTCATTAAAATTATGAAATAGGGCTTTAGCCTTGGCAGTACAACCTTCTCCTTGCTTATGAACTAAATGTTTTATTAACAAAAGGAAGAAAGTGTTATTTTCAATTTCAAAAACAACAGTGTTTTCAAGGTAGGCATAATGTCAGACATGCATTATTCAAATACGGGACAATGGTGTAGAAGTATCTGCTGGACTACTAACAAGGTGTACCAGGAGCTTTTGGGAAGAGGATATGTCTCTGTTTACCGTGGACTGTACTTTTTTATCTTTGCACACAAAAAAACTTCAGTCATTCACTGGAAATGTTTATTGCAGCATCAGCAGAATAGAGTAGAGAGGCTTTATTGTCATTGTTGGGTGATACTGCGAAATGTATTGTGCCACTCCACTAGGTGCATATGAACATACATTGCACCATACAGTATACATAGGAGTATAAAGTGCATAGATGTCATATAATTGCTCAGTCCACTCTATGTTATTGCGAACATAGAGTTTGGCGTATAGGCTCCAACCTTCACTCAAATATAAATACATAGATATAATGGAGAGAGATGTGAAAACATTTTTAACTCTGCATTGTTAAAGCCTACAGTCGGATGCTGGGGTGGTTGGAGGGGCTGAATCAACAAGCAGCAATACTGACACAGGGCAGCAGAGGCATTTGCAAGCAAAAGCAGAGATGGGAGTTCCCTGCAGCTTATGTAGACCCGGCAAATTAGGAGGGTGTAGGTGATTGTTCACATGATAGAGGAGAGTGAGGCATGTCACACGATTAGAGCAGCACAGCTTAAGTTGAGTCCCTGAACTGAAGCTCAAATGCATCAGGAAGGCAAAAACTGAAAATATGTCTCCTTTAAAGGGTGAACTTATGAGTGCAGTTATGTCTGGATATTAAAGTGTCCAAATGTGCAGCCTATCCAGCTCAGTTTTAGTCTGCAGTCTGCAGCAGTCTGGGTTGTTCATTACAATTCTATACCACACGCTGTGTAAAGATTTGGTACAGTCTCAGATATGATGAATAATGATGTCCTCATTTCTATGCCAGGGCCGGATTGTTTGCCACTAATGTTTCCGTTCAGGGGCCTGAAGGGAACCCAGGGGACAGTTGGGAGTTTGACATGACACTGCAAGGAGAGCTCAAGGATAGTGCAGGACAGCTGTCCCCAAAGTCATTAGACTGCCTCTAACCCCAAATGCACTCATCATCCATGTCTATCCAGAAGAGATCTCTCGCTTTGTCTCTGGTGGTTTTGTCGTCTCAGCTCTGTCGCTCTCGCAGCACACCAGATAAATGCTGTCCTCTGCTCTCTCTTTGTCTCCGTTATTCTCCTTTCCGTTCCCCCTTCACCCTCTGACCGACCCGTACAGTGTCTTGCTGATGACGGATGCTCTTGCTCCATCCCCAGGCCCAGTCAGCTGTAATAAAAAGAACAAACCCATATCACATGGGACTTCACTCTCCAGAGAATGAAAGAGTGGGTGAGAGAGTAGGTGGAGGAAAAGTGTGGGCAGAAACTGTGAAGAGATACATGGCAGTAAATTAGATGACAGCAGAGAATAGGAATGGAGACAATGGACAGCACGGGTAGAGAAACTGAAGAAAGGTGCAGACCATATAGTGAGTGATAACTGGAGAACAATAAGCTGCAAGGTGAAACGTGTCTTTCTATACTCCATCTGATTCTTTCTGTGAATTTTCAAACGACTCCTCAAGGGCATTGTTTTAGCTGCAGTGTGGCAGATAACTGCTGTTTTCTTCAGGGTCACGTTCTTTTATTCTCACCTTTCATCAATCAACAGTTCAATTCCTTTTAATTGATTTTTCACTGCTCCATGTTCTTCACGTTCTTATACAGCAGGAGCTAAATCACCGAGACCAGACCACTTTCAAATATTCTTTTTATTTCATCGATTTTACACTTTTATGTTTTTCATTCACAAAAAAATGTAAATGAAAAGTTTGTGAAATACAATACTGTGTTTTCTTGCACATAGCTCGAAGTAAAGTTTGATAACACCATCATAGCTTTATGTTGAAGTATGAAGCTGAATCCAGCACAAGATTGACTTAGCTTAGCATAGAGAGGGGCCACATGAACAGTTAGTCCGTCTGCAGCATCGACTGAATATAAATATGGACGCCATGACAACTCCCTAAAAGTAAATCCAAAGCTTCTTGATCACCCACTAGTGACTGGCTGTACTTGTATATGTCATAAACCCTGTCTCTTCCATGTTAGCAGATGGGGCATGGAACAAACTAAATTGTCAACATACACATCAAATAGATTTTTGGTGTCCTTGGTTGTGTTGTTGGGCAGATTTTCATACTGTTAAGACTGCAGGGGTTTTCCTCCATATGTCCAGTTTACCTTACTGGATCCAGCTGCCTACAGTATTTACTGCACAGACATGAAAGTGGTATGGACCTTCTCATCTAACCTTTAACCAGAAAGGTAACTGAGACCTGATTTACTCTCCTCCCCCCCCTGCATTGTGTTTTCTTTGTCCAGTGTGAAGATGGTGCTGCTGTGGACGGCCGGTGACATCTTCAAGACCACCTACTTTGTGATGAACGAAAGCCCTGCTCAGTTCTGGGTGTGCGGTTCAGTCCAGATCCTGATCGATGTGGCCATCCTCCTGCAGGTGCTCTCCTACAACCAGGACGCACGGGTCAAGCTCGGCTGAACCCAGATGTTTCTCTGGGCTTTTTAAAGAAATCGGGACTGACAGATGAGAAGCTAAGTGTGTCAGAACATAGAGAAAACCAAAGTCGGTGTAGATTTGTTTTGGTGGTCAGCCTTTTAGTAAAACATTCTCTGTTGTAACATGCAGATCCAACCTGAGAGCCATTACATAAATTGGAGACTTTTTTAGTCAGTTTTCAAACAGCAGGTCTGTAACGGCAGCTGCAACAAACTCTCCTGCACCTGTAGGCCTGCACTGGAATCTACCGCCTGAATGATGACTCACACCCCACACCTCTGATGGTCCTCATGATAGATCAAGTGTGTGCTTGTGTGTGTCAGTGTGTGTCGTCTTGCTTATTTGTTCGTCTGCACCCGCAATTGATTTTTGCTGTTGGCATCCAGCACCAAGCCAAGGCCACAGAACGAACAGCAGGCAACAGTGAGTTCTGTAGGTCGTCAATTTGTGTTGTGACTCCGCTCTGTGGTTTGACTGACAAAGCACCGCAGGTCTGTTTCCAAAGAACATGTGAGGACACCACCATGTTTTCACTTTACCTCAATGACAAAATTATTTGCAGACGCCAAAGAACATGTCAGACGTGTTTCTTCTTTGTAAATATGACAATATTACTGAAAGTTTTTTATAATTTGACTCCAGTGAATGAAATTCAATGAATCAAAACTAAATGAGAATGAACTTTGAACTATATTTCATTGATATCATCTGGCCATTATCATTTACATAACCTTAATATCTTTTTGGAACAGCCACCAAGGCACACATTCCAAGTGAAACCGAAGATTGGCAAATGAATGGTAAAAAAGTGAATATTTTAAAGAGTTGGTAATTCCTGACCTTACATTACTGACAAAGGAGGAAGCTCCGAGGGTCCTGATTGATTTATTTTCATTATTCTACACCAGTTGTACAAGATCAGTCGTATGACTGAGTTGCAACATATTTAATCATTTCATTACCTTTTTTCAATGGAAGGTTTAATCAAGTATAATTACCCTTTTCTGACCGCTCAAATCTTTGCACACACTCCCTCAGTTAAGACCTTTTACTTTCCCTAAACACAGTGGGCAGTTTGTGTGACGCATGGTCACCGTGCTAATGCTTGATGTTCAGTCCCTTCACGCTGCTGCATGTAGAAGCTCCTGAGAGTCAGTCAGCTGAGTTGTGGAGATAAAAAGGTTGTAAACTGTAATGATGACTCAAGTAAGGTCAGATCATCTTATTAGTCTGCTTCCTGCCTCGTTTTGTTATCAGCCGTGTGGTCCGCTCATTTCACTTTTACTCACCCTGACTGCAGATGACCACTTTTTCTGTCTAATTAGTTCGGGAGACACATAACAGCCAATAGCACTGAAACCTCATTCACCCATTCTAAATTTCCTGAAAGTAAAAAACATAACTATCACAAATACTTTATTCAGAAGATGTGTTCAAAACAATAGTTTAATAATGTAGCCTGGAGGAGTGTTGAGTCTCTTTCACCTGTTTCTCAGCAGCTTCTTAAAATACACCAGCAGCTGATCAGCAGTCAGTGCTGGTTTCTTTCCCTTCGGCATGATTTAATTAAGTAATAATGCTGCCTGCTTATTAAGTCTTTCTGTCACCTGTTCAACTCACCAATTCATGTCCACCAGTCAATCTATACCTGTCTGTGTCGTTCCACTACACATCATATTTACAGAGCCCATGTTTTGCCTTCCAGGGTTTTTTTAAGTGCAAAGGGAGTTCTTTTCACAGAAAACACTGCTCTTGAAGTGCCTGTAACTCCTTGTGTGAAGCTGAGACAGCTTTTGAAAATGCACTGGAGGAGACATGTGCACTTTGAACATATGAACCTATAATAGTTGACCCCAAAATGATCATTTTGAAATTGAATGGCCAAATTATGGGGAAATTAAGCCTTCAGATACCAGTGTGCCACAGCCAAAGGGCTGTATGTAGATGTCATTTATCCTCAATCTGATCTGACTTTTAAAATCTGAAAAAACATTGGGTTATTTAAAGAGTGTCAATACACAGATCTTTTTTAAGTTTTCAATTATCACTCAATGTATTAAAGCGATAGTTTGACATGTTAGGAAACACTCGCTCGAAGAATGATGCCACTCATGTCTATACAGTAAATATGAAGCTATGGGCAGCAGTCCCTTGACCACAAACACAAGGGTTAGACAATCACAATGTTTTTTTATTTTTACGCTTTGGAATCAAGCAAAGAAGATGTATCATGTTAATTTCAAGTTTTGTTATCAATCACTTTAACATCACAAACCAAAGAGAAGAATCTAACTCAGAACAGAAGAATAAGCACTCCCTCTCTTTTTGTCACATGTATTTGCACAAACCTTGAAATATCTTGGGATTATGCCTTTATGGAAGCTTTTGGACCTCACGTCATGTGCCACATTATGTATGAGTCGTTACAATCTTCTCTACAGGTGCTGTAATGTCAAATATTTTATGCATCAGTCAAAATGATATTCATAAAACCAATTCGTATGTGTGTGTATATGTGCTAAAACTAATGTATTCTTCAGTTTCAATTATCTGTTAGCTGTATTGTGAGCCGTGTGAATCTCTGCCCTGCGTGCACTCCACAGCTGTACTGCAACTGTATTATTTCTGTATTCTATATGCTCTTATCACTACATCCTGATGTGTATCTTTATATTGTTTTTCCCTGCAGCAGAGGCTCAGAATAGAACCAGCAGTTCAATATCTAGGCTCCTGTTCCTCTCATGGGCAGTAGGAGAACTTTTAACACACACACGCACAAATGCATTGTGATAATCCCTCCACCAAGTCCTCATTATGGTAAACATGCCCTTTGCCTCATTGCTACATCATGATAGGAAGTGGATGATTTGTCTTCTCAGAGGAGCTAGAGGGATTGAGACATATGTAAGATATATTTGCATATTTCCTGACTATCTTTTAATATTTGTTTCTTCAACATCAACAAACAGAATCCTTTTATGAATTGATGTGAATTTCAGTTACTGTATCAATGTTTGCTGATGTCTCTTCAGGTGGTATATATATCTATATATCTATATATATATAGTTACAGGATCTGTGAACTACAACCAAAAGTAGTAAAAATATCTAAACATAAGACTGCTCAGTGTTATGTTCTGTTACTCAACAGCATCATGGCTACATTAAGATGTAACAAATAACGACAGTACACACGGGACTGAACATGTATAAATGTGAAATATTTATCATGTTATTTTCTCAAATATAAACTATTTATCTTCCAGCATGTGGTCTCGTGTTGTTACGAGGATCTGTCTGTCTGTCTGTCTGTCTGTCTGTCTGTCTGTCTGTCTGTGTGCATGCTTGTGAGTGTGTGTGTGAGGGTAGAATTCTAGTGTTGTATGTGTTGTATGGTCACGTATATGTCTGTGGATATATATGTCCGTGTGTGTGTGTGTGTGTGTGTGTGTGAAAGGCAAAGTGAACATGGAGTTAGTGACAGCACAATATATATGGAAAAATGAAACTGTTTAATATACTGCTGGTTATATTTGATATATATAACAGCCAGGAATGAGGTGACAAGGACATGGAAACAGCTAAATCCACCAAGGCTAAATTCATGGCTATCAATAACTGAACACATTTGAAGTGGCTGAATATTACAATCAGAGATCACACAAAGAATCGAATAAGATTTGCCGCAAAGATGGAATCTATAATATTCAATACAAGATAATATTTAATCCAACAGATATTTTTCCCTCGGCCAAATAATCCCATTGTCCTCTCTCCAACCTCACCCAGTCCTCTTTTTTTTTTTTGACCTCGTCATGTCTCTCATTTATTTCTATTATTTATATCTTCTTCAAATGAACTCATAGTCATAAAGAAAATCTAATCAGATATGAGGCAGATTGTGTGCTGCTGGATTTATGCACAAAATCTGTCCTGAAACCTCATGTGAACCTTCTGAGTGTGATCCAGATCAAACCAGGAGTATCAGCCCTAAAATCACATTCTGATAAAAAAATCCTCTGCATATAAATCCCTTCTATACGTGTGTGTGTGTGTGTGTGTGTGTGTGTGTGTGTGT